TCTGGTGGGAGACAGTCTCTTACCCATTTTGGGGGTTTTAATGGGTAATAGTGGTGCTCAGTTGCGCGGCTGCACTTGGGCACGGAAAGCTGGCTGAGCTACCTCCGTCCCCGTGCTGGGATGCTCCTGGAAGCTCCTTGGGTGTCCCGGCACTGCCATGGAGGTGCTGCCTCCTTTTGCCCATGGGCTGGTGGCACGGGATGGTGGAGTCGGTAGCGCTGCGCCTTAGCCCCCCGGCTGCTTGTGCACAGGCTGGGGGATCGCTCGGGTGCCGACACCGAACGTTCAGAGAGCCAGTGGCCTCTGAAGTGTGGCCTTTGTTCCCTGGGAGGCGAGGAGCAAAGGCCTTGAGAGTCGGGGTGAGCCGTGTCCGTGTGGGAAAGCAGCAGGAGGAGAGACCAGGCGGAGCTGCGGCAGGCCTGGGAATGGCTGCGGGGGCGATGAAGGCTTGCAGCTTCCCGCTGCCCCAGTGGGGGCAGAAACATGTCTTCCCAGAGAGCTGGAGGAGGGATCTTGTGTGGGGATGGAGGAAGCGTCTGCATCTGGGGGCTGGGAAGGCTCGAGAGCTGTGTTCCCTGTCTCTGCAGCGGAGCTGCCCGGAGTTGTGCTGGAGACGTGGGCGTCTCGGCTGCGTGGAGCTGGCCTGTGTGCAGGAGGCATCCAGGGCCTTGTCTCCTCAGGGAAAAGTTGCAGCGGGAACACTGTCAAGCCGACATCCGCTCGGTTTGGGTGGCACTAGCACGTCCTGCGGTGGAGTGATTTGAAATTCTCTCTTCAGCTTCTTTGAAGACTTAGACAAGCGACACCAGGAAAACGTCCTGATTCCTGACATCAGTGACATCGTGGAAGAACACGCCTCGAACCACTTCAGCCCGTACGTCAGCTACTGCTCCAACGAGGTCTACCAGCAGAGGACACTTCAGAAGCTGCTGTGAGTGCTGCCGTGTGCTCAGGCCTCGGGCGTGCGAAGGAGCTGCCTACGAAGGGTCTCGGGGCTGCGGGGATACTAGCCGGCTGTGGGCAGGGCAGGCGGGACCGTACGGGCCCGTGGCTCCCTCAGCCTGTGGTTGTTTCCTTTTCCCTGAGGAAGGCTGTCTCCTTCCTGAGCTGAGTTCAATGCCTAGACCTCAGTGCATCTGTGTCAGGTGATGAGAACCTGATTTCACAGAATCACGGAATGGTTTGGGTTGAAGGGGCCTTAAAGCCCACCCAGTCCCACCCCCTGCCATGGGCAGGGACACCTTCCACTAGACCAGGGTGCTGCAAGCCTCATCCAGCCTGGCCTTGGACACTCCCAGGGATGGGGCATCCACAGCTTCTCTGGGCAACCTGTCCCAGTGCTTCCCCACCCTCTCCGGGAAGAATTTCTTCCTGATGTCCCATCTCCATCTCCCTCTCTCCGTTTAAACCCATCACCCCTTGTCCTGTTTGTGCTGTGCTGTAAGAAGGGTGAAGTGTGAGGGTAGGTGGGGGTAACGCTGCCCCTCGGACGTGTCCTGCCGAGGTCAGAACACGTATGTGGTGTGTCAGGGACGCGTATGGGGGCTGTTCATCCCCAGATCATCCTGTTGGTATGGGTCAGGTTTGTGTGCGCTGTTGTACGCCGGTGGCTTTACCCGCCTTTTGGTGGTCTCTGGGTGGTTTCCCAGCGCCCACTAAGGGGTCAGTCCCCTTCCTGCCCCAGCTGTGCTCTCTGAGCGCGGCAAACTGCCGTTTAGCAGCACAGGCAGCGCCTTCCTTGTGCACGGAAAGCTGCTGGGCAACCCCGATAACCGAAGAACCGCGTTAATGGAGCTTTCTTGTCCCGTTCCAGAACCACAAACCCCTTATTTAAAGAGACCTTGAAACAAATTGAAAGGAAACCGGAGTGCGGAGGCCTGCCAATGATCTCATTTCTCATTCTCCCTATGCAGAGGGTAACGCGGCTGCCTCTGCTGTTAGATGTAAGTAAGTCACACGGTGGCGTTGCTTGGCACCTCTGAAGAGGTGACCGTGTTACAGCCGCCTTTAGTTTGCTGAGCTTGGACTTCCATCCTGCTGGGAGCAGAGGCTGGGATGCCTGAGCCTGTGTTCAGGATTTAGATCCGGAGTGATCTGCTTGTGGGTGTCAGATGTGCAGCATAAAGCATCGCAAATAATGCCTCGCCTCTTGGCGTGAGGGTCTTTGCCCCATGCTGCGTCTGGATACCCCAGGGTGGGGTGGCATAAGCAGCCTGTTGGATTCATGGTCAGGTGGCCTGGGAAGGGAAAAGTTGGAATCCCGGCCGTGGGATTTCTGGTAGCTGCTCCCGGGCTGTCACGGGCCATGGGAGCGAGGGCTGGGGGTATGTCTGGGGTGACAGTGATGCTCAGGCACGTGTCTGACGTGAAAGCCCCGGCAGAAACCAGGTTCGGCGCTACCAGCACTGTCAAACCTTGCTTTGACCGTGTACCCCGCTGCGCGTCTGAGCATCAGGGACGGCTCGAGCGTGTGTCGCATCCCGAAATCCCAGGGCAGCGGCTGACGCACAGTTCTCTGTCCTGCAAGGTCACTGAAGTGTCTTACCTTGAAATTCTAGACTGTCTGTCAAAAAACAAAAGCATGCACGGCGGCGTACGGAGCTGCCACCAGAGCTCTGAAAGCCATCAGCAAGGTGAGGCCTGGCTGCCAGCTCTTCATCTGTCCTCTTTCCGGCACACCGCTCCCTCGCTCTGGCCCCATTCCGGCCTCTGGTTTTTCCTCCCTGCATCAGGTCGCTTGAGATATCCCTGCTCGGAGCAGCTGCTGGATGTACGCGTCTTCTCCCTCGTCTCACCTTTTTCACCCAATCTTGTTCTTTTTCTTTGTCTTGACAGCATTTCTTCTTGCCTCTTTGGCCCATCTTTCATCCTTCCCTTCAGTGTCTTCTCCATCAGTGCTCTCCCTTCTCAGAACCTCCCTTGAGGTGATAGTGAGCTGCTTGCCATGGATTTTGGGGATCTAGGCAAAGAGCAGGAAAGAAAGCAAAGGGCAAGGAGCAGCGGAAGCCATGGCAGTTGTGAGCCGTGTGCTGTTCCTGCTCCTGTGTCCCATCTCCATCTGCTTTCCCATCTGGTGGTCATTCACACAAGGCGATGTGCCACAGGGATTCCGGCCACCAAAGCGGCGCTGGTGGCTCTTCCTTTTGTCCCCCTTAAAAACCGGCTCTTGGCAACGTGCTCCTGCGCCTCATGGTCTGTCCTGCTCGCTCCTCTGGTGAACAAAATGCATGACCCCCGGGTCGGGCCACGCTGGGCCACCCTTCCCTGGACCAGAGGGACGGGCAGGGCTGTGTCTGCTCCGGAGAGGCACCACGAGGGGCCAGGGTGCCCTCTCGGCACCGCAGGAGGTGGCATTGCTCCTCCTGCCCCTGGAAGGGTTCTGTCCTGCCGTTCATCCTCCCGTCTTAACCTCCTCTCCTCGGTGATTCATTCTTCCTCTTCGTATCGCTCCTCAGTGAAGCTTCGCCGCGGTTCCACTTCGGTCCTTCTCCAGGCGGAGCAAACGTCCCGTCTCTCTCCTGGAGATCTCCCCTGGCAGGAGAACCCCCAAACCCGGCTTGAAACCTCGGCTATTTCTCCCGTTCGGGGAAGCAGGGCAGCTGCCTCGCTCCTCGCCGGCAGCGCCGGCACGGAGGACGGATGGGCTCAGCATCCTGCCGTTCTCCGCTTCCCTTGTGATGTTTTCCTAGCTGGTGAAGAACTGCAACGAGGGAGCTCGCGCTATGGAGCGGACAGAGCAGATGTACACCCTACAGAAACAGCTGGAATTTGGAAAGAAGAAGGTGAGGTTTTGTGGGAATGGCAGGGGGGGAAATCTTCTGGGGTGTGCCGTTCGAGTGGCCCATCCCAGGAGTGTCAGACCTCTCCTGAGCGCCCTTCCGGGAAGCCTTGAGCTGCCAGGAGCCGCGTCACCACTCCATGCTCGCGGTCACTATTTTTTCCAGCTGTTCTGATCTAA